AAAGATACATTTATGATATAAAAACACAAAAATGTCATAAAAATTGCTATATTATATTAATGAGTTAAATACATAAAAACTATTGTAACTGTTAAAGTTAACTAAATTAACTATTGTTTTAAAAATTAGGTACAATTTATTCATATGCGATCATTAAGTTGATGTAATAAAGTAGTGGTTTTTTTTCATTATGCGGAAAACTTAAAAGCTTAATAATTAACTCGTAATAATTTTTTTCTCAAATTGTTAAATTCAATTATGAAATGCTCTAAAACTTCAAAAAACATTCTAAAAGCGAAAAAAGCTAAATAAAAATTAGTTACACGGATTCGTATGTTAATGAAACACATTTAAAGGAAAGCAAGACGTTCAAAAAAAAGTTGCGAAATACATCAACATCCGGGGTCCTTTAGGTATAATAACATACTCCATTATATTCTGTAGGGTTTATAGTATAATATTAAATATAAGGTAGAAATAATAAATGTTGAAATTGAAACTTTTCGTTGTTTAATATGCGAATTGCATGACAGAAGCGCTCGGGATTTCGTATCGTTCAACTCAGTAGGCATGGCTGGCTGCGGAGTGACCACGATTCTACGCAGCTCCTGAAAGCGCTGTATTGATGGACTTGCGATTATAAATAATTTCAGAAACCGATTTGTGGGCACCGAACGGTTTTTATTTTTTACCACAAATACTGAAGTACCCAATATATATATATATTATGCAATTATTGTTGTTCTTGGACACAAAGTGTGTATGGTTCCGTCACTTATCCGTTTGATACCCATATACAGGTATACATTACAATTTACCTTTGTAACGAATTTTTTTTTTTGGTGTCTATCAAGCATCAAATCACCTCTTCACACTCCACTGGTTCTATAATATCATACTATCGGAATCAAAAATAATATACATTTTTTTTTTTATCAAGTTTTAGAGGCATCCACAACAAGGTTACTATAGCCAGCGTTACTTTTTTTTTTACATCGGAAAAAGAACGAATTTACATTAAATCAATTTGCGCTAAATTATTTAATTATTACTATTTGTTAGGTACCTAATAAATAATAATAGTATTATAGTATAGTACGCAGTAGTGGTTCTTTTAACGGGTGTGTCACCTAAAAAAATGTTTATAGTATTATCTTGTGTTGTACGCGTTCGAGCATAATATTATTATGACATAATTACGTGGCGTTAACACGACGTGGTGGTAAACAATTAAACACCACAGATAAGAAAATCAATAACGGCCGTGTCTCGTTCTCAATGATTTACGTGATGTATGTTTATAATTGTTGCTTTTTCATTGGGCCATTAACGACCATAAAATTATTAATCGTTTTTTTAACCGCGTAGTTGTTCGTGCGGTTGTAAACTAGGGTGCGGACGTTAAAAAAAAGTCCGAGAAGCACGAATATCATAGAGAAACCCCTGGTTCTAAACTTGACTATACCTGAAAAGCTGACAAACCAGCGGATGCGGTGTGCGCCTCAGTAATAGTATATTGTTCAACGGTAATCGGAAATAATATTTTAACGACGGAGCCGGGGTTCGTGTCGTCTTCTATTGGGCCTGTAGCCGCCGTCTTTGCGCAAATGCACGCGCACGCGTGTTTCGTACCACCGCTAACCCGCGGCCCACGAGGCACGTGCACGCATGCGCAGTGACACTGCACGTAGGGGAATCGGCGCGACGGCCGTGTGCGGACGTACCTATCTTCCGTTCGGCCGTTCAGTCGTTTTGGTGTGTGACACTTGGCATGTTGCAGGTCTGTCGTAGATACAATATTATTGTCATTTCGCTCCGATCTTCGTCTCCTGGCGTTTATTTTTCGTAAGTACCTAATATTATATATAATATTATTATTTGCTATCAATAATTATCCATACTTGTTGATTCATGGTCGGCGAGTAGCTTTGCTTGAATTAAAATAAAATAAAATAAATAAACTTTAAATTAAATTTTAAATATTTACTACTCTGGTGATTTTGCTGACGGCAAGGCGCTTCTAGCGATCCATTCCGACCTCGAAATAGCCTCAAACCTCGTACAAAATCATCTCAATCTCTTATCAACCTGGTATAAAGACTGGAGAATAAAAATCAACGAAACAAAATCCATCCATTATACATTCACACTAAGACAAATAGTCTGCCCCCCCCCCATCTACCTCAACAATGTACCTCTCCTAACCGCTTAAAATGTCCGATACCTAGGTCTACATTTAGACCGCAAGTTAACTTGGGCAACTCACACCCACAACAAAAGACTTGCCTTAAATGATCGCTCTCGCCAATTACGTTATCTCCTCACGTCACAATACATCACCTTAAAAACAAGCTACTATTATACAAACTCCTACTCAAACATGACTTGACTCAACTAGACATACGGTATCCAACTCTGGGGTGCAGCCAAAAAGTCCAACTTAAACAAAATTCAAATCTTCCAATCTAAATGTCTCCGTCAAATAACCAAAGCTCCCTACTATGTATTCAACGACACTCTACATAATGATCTAGCCATTCCAACAGTCCAAAACGTCGCAAAAACTTTCTACAAACGCACATACTCCAAGTTCCACAGCCATCGTAATCCCCTGATTTCCGATCTATCTACCAACGCTGTTCCTGGTGACCCCAGAAGGTGTCTAAAACGTACCTGGTGTTGTGACCTACTAATCTAAAATTGTTTAAACCTCTACCTCCCCTTAATTTTATAATCCCACCCTCTCTTACTAGCAAATTAAAATCCTAGCCTAAAATCCTAACCTTAAGTACCTCCAATGGGCGGCTTCTTATCTCTAGCCACTCAAACCATGTCACCTCCATCACATGCACTTATTGTAAAACAACATTTACAGATTGTGTATATTTAAAAAACCGATAAAAAAAAAAATATTTACTACAATAGTCACAATTTTTCCGTTGTGTTTTTTGAATGCGTCTTAAGAACCAATTGATAGAGTATAACAATACATAAATATATCATATAAGTACGGTTTCTGACATTATTTTATCTATTTTGTTGCAGGTGCGTTTTCCTATCAGTCGTTCAGCCTTTCAGTCATTAAAGTTTGTGGACTTTGGCACGCCGTACGTACACATTCTCCCGATTTGCTGTGATATTGTTATTATTATTTGCTTCGATCGTCGTTCTTTTGCGCCGACGCCGTTTCGCCGCCGAATTACCGTAAGTATCATAATATAATATTATATTTTTATTTATTTCGTATGATTTATCCATACTTGTTGATTCATTGTTGGGTAGGGGGAGGGTAACTTTATTTTAATTACATGTTAGCGATAAGACATACATTTTTTAAGACAATTTGATAATAAATAAATTATATTTCTTTGTAAGTAGTTAACTTTTTGTAACAAAATAACTTAAATTACACTCAACTTAATTTTTTGTATTAAGTCACATTTTAAGAACGAACTGATATTATATAATATTTAAACTATTTAAACTATTTTTATTTGTAAATAATAATTTTAAAATTATGTTTTTGAATACAAGTAATATTTACCTGTAATAAATAGTTTGTAATAATAATTGTTTGTTTTAAATAAAAATGGGAACTTGATTAGGTAATTTCTTTTTTTTTATTCAATTTTTGGTTTACACTTTTACATCAAATAATAGTATGTATAAAGTCATAAATAATATTAACAAATTACATTTGTATTTAATGAATCGATTTTTTTAAACAAATTACTTAAAAAGAATTATCCAAACAGTATGAACACTTAACTGTCAACTATAGAGTATTAAAGTCAACTTAAAAGGAAAATGAAAACGTTAATCAACAATTCAAAATATTTTGATAAGTATGCAGTTATTATCACGAAATATATTGTGTAAATATACTTTATGTGTGTTTACCAACCCTGTGCAAGTTAAAGATTATTTTTAATTGAGTGACTTAAGTTAAGTTGATTCAACCGATTTCAATCGGTTTTAATCGTATACTCGTAATGTTACAAAAGCGTTTTGAAGCCCTAATTTTGCTTAACTTGACAATCTAAAATAACGGAATAAAATAATATTTTGTTATTTTAAATGTTAGAAAAAAATTGGCACATTAATATTGTGTTGGGCTTAGATAAAATCCATTGGTTGTTTTTTCTAATACAAAGACAATTTTAGTTTATAGNGGTGATTTTGCTGACGGCAAGGCGCTTCTAGCGATCCATTCCGACCCCGAAATAGCCTCAAACCTCGTACAAAATCATCTCAATCTCTTATCAACCTGGTATAAAGACTGGAGAATAAAAATCAACGAAACAAAATCCATCCATTATACATTCACACTAAGACAAATAGTCTGCCCCCCCCCCATCTACCTCAACAATGTACCTCTCCTAACCGCTCAAAATGTCCGATACCTAGGTCTACATTTAGACCGCAAGTTAACTTGGGCAACTCACACCCACAACAAAAGACTTGCCTTAAATGATCGCTCTCGCCAATTACGTTATCTCCTCACATCACAATACATCACAAGCTACTATTATACAAACTCCTACTCAAACATGACTTGACTCAACTGGACATACGGTATCCAACTCTGGGGTGCAGCCAAAAAGTCCAACTTAAACAAAATTCAAATCTTCCAATCTAAATGTCTCCGTCAAATAACCAAAGCTCCCTACTATGTATCCAACGACACTCTACATAAAGATCTAGCCATTCCAACAGTCCAAAACGTCGCAAAAACTTTCTACAAACGCACACACTCCAAGTTCCACAGCCATCGTAATCCCCTGATTTCCGATCTATCTACCAACGCTGTTCCTGGTGACCCCAGAAGGTGTCTAAAACGTACCTGGTGTTGTGACCTACTAATCTAAAATTGTTTAAACCTCTACCTCCCCTTAATTTTATAATCCCACCCTCTCTTACTAGCAAATTAAAATCCTAGCCTAAAATCCTAACCTTAAGTACCTCCAATGGGCGGCTTCTTATCTCTAGCCACTCAAACCATGTCACCTCCATCACATGCACTTATTGTAAAACAACATTTACAGATTGTGTATATTTAAAAAACCGATAAAAAAAAAAATATTTACTACAATAGTCACAATTTTTCCGTTGTGTTTTTTGAATGCGTCTTAAGAACCAATTGATAGAGTATAACAATACATAAATATATCATATAAGTACGGTTTCTGACATTATTTTATCTATTTTGTTGCAGGTGCGTTTTCCTATCAGTCGTTCAGCCTTTCAGTCATTAAAGTTTGTGGACTTTGGCACGCCGTACGTACACATTCTCCCGATTTGCTGTGATATTGTTATTATTATTTGCTTCGATCGTCGTTCTTTTGCGCCGACGCCGTTTCGCCGCCGAATTACCGTAAGTATCATAATATAATATTATATTTTTATTTATTTCGTATGATTTATCCATACTTGTTGATTCATTGTTGGGTAGGGGGAGGGTAACTTTATTTTAATTACATGTTAGCGATAAGACATACATTTTTTAAGACAATTTGATAATAAATAAATTATATTTCTTTGTAAGTAGTTAACTTTTTGTAACAAAATAACTTAAATTACACTCAACTTAATTTTTTGTATTAAGTCACATTTTAAGAACGAACTGATATTATATAATATTTAAACTATTTAAACTATTTTTATTTGTAAATAATAATTTTAAAATTATGTTTTTGAATACAAGTAATATTTACCTGTAATAAATAGTTTGTAATAATAATTGTTTGTTTTAAATAAAAATGGGAACTTGATTAGGTAATTTCTTTTTTTTTATTCAATTTTTGGTTTACACTTTTACATCAAATAATAGTATGTATAAAGTCATAAATAATATTAACAAATTACATTTGTATTTAATGAATCGATTTTTTTAAACAAATTACTTAAAAAGAATTATCCAAACAGTATGAACACTTAACTGTCAACTATAGAGTATTAAAGTCAACTTAAAAGGAAAATGAAAACGTTAATCAACAATTCAAAATATTTTGATAAGTATGCAGTTATTATCACGAAATATATTGTGTAAATATACTTTATGTGTGTTTACCAACCCTGTGCAAGTTAAAGATTATTTTTAATTGAGTGACTTAAGTTAAGTTGATTCAACCGATTTCAATCGGTTTTAATCGTATACTCGTAATGTTACAAAAGCGTTTTGAAGCCCTAATTTTGCTTAACTTGACAATCTAAAATAACGGAATAAAATAATATTTTGTTATTTTAAATGTTAGAAAAAAATTGGCACATTAATATTGTGTTGGGCTTAGATAAAATCCATTGGTTGTTTTTTCTAATACAAAGACAATTTTAGTTTATAGACCACATTTTAACCCGTTGACATCTGGGATTTTTATTTGTACGCATAGGAGGAGATCCTGTAAAATATTGAGGAGAGCTCAAATATTTGGTAGCCAAACAGATCCCTACACCCTTATCAAACTAACCGTTACATATATTGATATAATGATACAATAGGTACGATTAGTCACTAATGTACGATAATTTTATAAACACAATTCAAATATAATATGATTCGATATTTTACACATTGTGACTTTGGGTATTGGTCGGTAATCGGTAGGTAAGTTAACTATCATAAAAAAAAATAATATTACATCGTTTCCACATAATATAATAAATTAATAGGTAGGCATATTAAACAATATTTTTTTTATAGGTACTGAATAATAATAAAACAAATTATCCGTTTACAATCCTGTAATCTGTACCAAAGTACGATATCGCTTATTTTTTATTTTTAAGATGGGTTAACTTCAAATAAATAGTGTTTTTTTGAGGGGGGTTAGGTTCCTGTAAGTCCTCCCCAATTTCCGCCTATGTTTGTACGTTATTACACCCTAGGAGAGCAGGTGGATGAGACATTTCGTTATATTGTCGTCCTTCGTCCAGGTAATTAATAATTATTATATTATTCTCTATTACTTGATTTGCACTGATTTCTCCACTCTGCACTCTCCGCTGATTCTTGGGATTGGCTGTGGCAAAGTTGTTAACAGTGCTAATTCAGGCCAAATTTCTTTTCATGAATCTACTGTTTGGCTCACGACCATTGTAACTTTGTATAGTACGCACCGCCGAGGACCGAACACAGTGAACATATCAAAAAGGCAATACGCAACTTCTTCAGCCTTTTCGGTTTTAAAATACAAAATTTTGTTCACTGATCTTGATACACCAACACAAATTTATATTCACCATCAGCTTGACTTTGGTAATCAATTAGATCTAATTTACATTTACTATTTAATTCAGAAAAAAAATCCTGAGATTTGTCACGACATCATTTTTTTCGCTTTTTTGTTTTTTTACACAAATTTCACACACTTTTTTTTTAAATTTACTTTATATTGAGTAATTTTTTTATTTTATTTTTCCAGTTCATACATCATTCTGTCTACCACCGTGTCTATAGATAGGTGGATTTTATATAAAATATCGTTAATTATTCGTCGTGAATGTAAAATATAATATCGGAATTATCGGTCATTGGACATTTAAGTTTTTCATTACCTTGAACCCTAGTATAGAACTTTTGTTTTTTCTAAAACGCTTTATTTCAATTATTAATTAAAAATCACATTTTTCTTTCAGCTGACACGTGCTGTCATTACGTTCTATTATCGTATTTTTTTTATTTTTTATTATTGTTACACATTTCGTTTTCATTGTAGAGCACGCTTATCACACTATACGAAATTACGAAACATTTGTTTTTATTTTATCATATTCTAATACACTGAAAATGATCAAAAAAAAACTAACTATAGCGTTAGCCACTGTCATAAGAATAAGTCTAGTCGGTGTAGAATTGCGGGGTTAAATAAATATTAATTTATTAATTCAAATGACTATTATTCATTGAACAAAAATTGCACAACTATAAAAATAATAGTATAATAAGTCAATACAAAACAGGTGTTAGTAACTATAATATTAGTTCGTTGCTCAAGTTTAATACAAGGGGAATAGATACACCAATGGACCTACTATTTTTTTTTTTTTTTTTGACGGTTTTATAGTAGCATCGGTTACTAGGCTTATTATCATCTGTTATCTATATTATGCACTGCCTATTATTGTATTATGCTTTTTCGAATTATAGTAATGAAACATTTAAAAAATATAAAATTGTACAATCAAATGGCACTCGCATGGACTTTTATTTTTGTGATATTTTTTTTTATAATGTGTTTAATTTTTTGGGGCTTATTTCGGTTAGATTTTTTTTTGCTTGAGATTGTTGTTCATCTACCAGTAAACCCTAATTTATATTATAGTATCGAGCATATTTAGAAATTATATAGAATAATTTAATTTTGAATTTCATATCATAAGTACCTATATAATAAATACTAATATCTTCATATCTCATTCTCTATCAATGTAAAACATATTTTATGAATTTGTGATTAATTTGGTTTAATAATTTGTATTTAGCTTCATGGAAAGGAGTATTTGAAACTGGTTGTGGTAGTGCGAGTCAAGCTTCAACTAGTACCTAGTGCGAGTCAAGCTACAACCAGTATTGCGAATCAAGCTTCAACCAGTATTGCGAATCAAGCTTCAACCAGTAGTACCAGTAAAGCTTCAACCAGTATTTGGAATCAAGCTTCAACCAGTATGGCGAATCAAGCTTCAACCAGTAGTGCCAGTAAAGCTTCAACCAGTATTTGGAATCAAGCTTCAACCATTAGTGCGAGTCCAGCTGCAACCATCAGAAGTGAGAGGCAATTTAGACTCACTTTTTTTGAAGAATACGATATGCGTAACAATTTAAAAGTAAACGTTACAAGAATGGACAGTATGCTTAATAATGCACAAAAGGACAAACTTTTTAAATATAAAATAGACAACTCTAAGACAACATTGGAAAATGCTTTTTCTAACATTAATATTAATGTTAAAAAATAACAAGTTTAAACAAATGCCAAGAATGATGCCTCTATTGATTCAACAATGAAAGAAAATTCTGAATCTAAAGGTAAATAAACCCAAGATTGAATGTTAACCTGATTAACTATTGCTCCATACTTATATTGATATTGAAATATGATTGTATACTGAAGTACCTAAATAATATTAATTCAAGCATTTAAAAAAAATCTTTCTCAATTATTTAATTTCTAAGTTAAAAATATAATAATAAGAATTTATAGATAAAATAACTATATTTAAGTAACAATTTCTTACTAAAATATGTTACTTCAGATTAAAACCAACATATTTGGTATCATACTATCATGATATTTAACCTTCATTCACCATTATCCTACATATTTCTGATTAAATAGCTGAAATTCCAAATTTCATTTGGATTATGTATGGATAATTTTAATTAAACTATTATACAAAATATTTTATTGACTATTGTTTTCCACTGAATTTAATTTGCTCGATCACTATGTTCATTTACAACTTTTGGTTTTTAAAATAACTTGAAAATGTTTTCATTTCCTTATTTTTAATTTTTAATTATATTATGCTTATTGCAAGTATATTTAAGTTTATTATTACATTATAACATAGACATAGTAATTTTTTGTATTTTTTTATAATATATTTAATTATTATTTTTATTTATTGTTCTTATTTTATGTCTGTTTTGAACTATACCTTTTGGTTTAGGTATTTACTGTTTTGACACAAGTATAGTTAAATGATAGATATTCATACTCAATATAAACTGGCAAACATTCAGTTATCACAACTTCTCTGCGGACCCTAGAGTTTGAGTTCTTCAGATTTAGATAAGACATATTTAAGCGTGAAGTCTGAAAACAATATATTATTTATTTTTAGATTATATTTTAAAGTTTATATCAATATAATGAACTAGGTAGTGCGTTTTACAACTTAAATGTGTGTAAGGTACTTCACTATTCGTTACTTGTCCTTTCAAGTTTATTTTTATAAGATTTTAATCAGATACACTGTAATTGTATAAATACTTCTAAAATTTTAAATAAAAATCTTATCTTCAGAAAACACAACATTTTTTGTAATTGTCAGTGTCTAAATAATTGTATAGAAATTTTATTAATTTGTACTGGTAAGGGCCAAGGTTACTAGTATTTTATTGTTTTTATGATTTAAGATTTTTTTTCTGGTTAAATATATTTATGGAATATAGTATCATTTATAAATGCTTATATTGATTTATGTAAGCACAAAATACTTGTTTTAGATTCTCATTATTACAAAAATGTTACAAATATGCTTGACAATTATTATAAGTTAACTACTTTTTAGCATCAAAAATGTATGTACTATATTGCTGGTTTATTATTGCTATAGGTATTATGATTTTTTGATTTTAAAATGTACTTTCCAGGAGATCTTTTTTTAAGGTAAAAAATGTACAATGGTTCACCTATTTTCGTATTAAATGCCTAACCCTATAAAAAGAAGAATTCTTATGAATCTTTTTATGTGATTCAAAACAATTAACGACGAGGTCTTACTACGAAGCTGACATCTAGATCACACGAAGTCCACAAAGGTCGACGATTTACGATGACGTGACCGATTTCCAAACATCGAATTGAAGTTAAATATAATTATTATTTATTAGTAAAGACTCTAAGTAATGGTGCCTGAGTCAGTATGGTAGAGCTAGTTTTCCATCGCCTATTACGTCTTTAAGCCTGATCCTCAGCGTTATAAACAAGTTTAAAATGAGTTTCCTGAAGTACTAAATATTTCCTAAGCTACCTACAAGGCTACAACAATTATAAATCTTAACTGTATGCCAGGGGTCGCCAACATTTTTCAACAAGTGAGCCTTACATTATAAACGTTAAGTACCTACCCAGTGATCGGCTACTATTTGTCTTGTGACATTAGTACCTAAGTATAAAATTGCATGTTTTTCTTCACTGATTAACACTTAACACTGAATATAAAGCGTATAAGAGTGTGTTTAAGTCTTAAGTTTTGAAATTGTGTACGTTAACAACAAATATTGGTGTATAATTAATTTTTAATAAGATCGACTAGCTTTATCTATTAAATCTATAATTCTGTTACGACCAATGTCATCGTAGTGGTTTCATATACTATACACATATTCGGCCACTTTAGGTTACATAACGGTTATACTAGGCCACTAGGGGCGTCATTTAAACTTTTTATTGAATGTGCCAACATTTTTGCACGTCATTTTCAACCGTTACCGGGCCACATAGGTACCTTTTATTGGGGGAGAGGGGGAGGGGGAGGTTAATTGGGGACAAAAACCGTAGGATATTTTATTTAATATAATGTCACTTATATTCTTTGTGAGCTTTCTTAATAACACAACATAACGAGTAGATAATAATATTCTAAAGTCCCAACAATCTACGGGCGACTGGACTGTCGCTGGACTATAGCGTAAAAGCATAATTTTATTTATCTATTACTGTTCTGTGTCACAAGACGTGTCTGGGCCAACATTTAATATAGCATTTATTACCCAGACTGACAATCTATGCACTTTTGGCTATTAAGGAGGACAGGCAGCCACACACTCATTCTTACGAATCATGACAAAATATAGATGTATTTTGCCATATATAATATTGTTTTGGCTATCGATCAATTTAAATATTTTCAGATCACATTGAATATTTTTTGAAATAAAACACAATTAGCACGATACATTTTTCTTTAATTACTAAAAAAATTTAAGAATTAATAAATAAATAATATGAAACACTTATATCGGCGCTTATATTTATTGTTGGCATGAAAAATAAGGCGTTGGTACAAAAAAAAAAAATTGGTGCAAAAGTACACCCTGCACTCCTCCAAATGGGTTGTACTAGGTAATAGGTATTGCAGAGATCGTAAACTTCGTGAACTCGAAACCTAACCTCGAGAAGTCATGAGCGGAACTAAGAGGGGCTGGGGGCTTAGGCCCCCAAAACTTGTATAGCTCATCAAAATACATTTTTTAATTGTTTCTTAAAATATTAATAAGCCTTTTAAAATTCAACTGCAATTCTTATTTATTTCAGAAAAATTTTTTTTTTTTTTTTAGTTTAAAGTTTATGGTTATTTTATATTGACAATGATGAAATAAGGATAAATTCATATTATTAGCCGTATGCCCGTATTAATTTTTAAGGGAACGATTTACTTCAATACATCGGTACGATTATTATACATAATTTTACAGTGTATACGTACTTAACGATAATATACAGACGGCATATTATTACCGTGAAATATGAAACTTGAGTATAAAATACCTATAAATATCTGTTTTTATTTTTGTAATTAAATTAATCCATATTAATTTGGTGTGTGGTCGACACCTCCACGGGTTACTTTTTATGTAATATCAGGTGGAGGCTAAATCCCCCCCTCCAAGATCTTAGTCCCAATTGCGCCACCGGGGGAGTATACAGTAAACTCGACGGTGGGTTCGCTGAGTGGACGAAATTGGTGGGTGATGGTGGTTTTTTCACTTGTTAATAAAAAAATATATCCAGCCGGTATGTAAGTAATATTATTTGAATTTATAAATTATAATATTAGGCGTTCGCAGATACCGATTCCATGGGCAGCATAAGGATAATAACATTAATACAAAAGTATAAAATACGGCTAATAGGGGGGAAAGAGCATATGCCCGATGTGCTGCTCAGAGCCTGCAGCCTGCTCTCACACATACGCACCCCGACTTTTATCATTTTGGTATTCCAAAAGCTTCGTTGTGAGAACCGAAAAGGTGGAAAGGGATTGCATTTTTTTCATATATATACCTAGTTTAGTAGCCAGGTAGGTAGGTGCCGAAGTCCAAACAACTTATTTGTACAAAGTACAATTCTGCAGTTTATTGTTCATCATTAAATTTTTAAATTTTTAAAATTTTTATTGCGTATGATCAACAAGTATTGGGGACCGAGCGGACTATGGCGTCGGTTCTAACGCTCGCCGGCGCCGGTTCGAACCTCAGCCACTAGCGACATCGCTCTCCGGGCCGGCGACTGTTTAGGCGCCGATACCGCCATCCCTCCTATCGGGCATGGCAGAAACCCTACGGATGCCCAAATAGAAATTCTGTCAAATAGGCTTCCAAACTAGGGACCTAGTAGCTTCGGGCCTACTAGCGGACATAGCGAGACGTTAGGAAGAAAATATAATAATTTATAAGCGTTTGATTCGTTTACTCTGTACCACGATTAAAGATATATATATTATATATATATATATGTATATCTTTAATCGTGCTCTGTACTTATACAATTACATAGAGCTTAAATGGATTGGTATTTGAGACTTTTAATACAATTATAATATCGATGCGCTTACACAGATCGTTCCATAGAAAACAAAATTATACAAGTAAGTACTCTTTTTTTTTATGTCAATATTTCTTTATTATTGGTTAGCCGCTGCCACTACTGGCTTTAGCTTAGTCACAAAAATCGTGTTTTTTTTTTGTTTAAATGTTACCTACCGGAAAATATGACATTCAGTCAGTGTTGATAATGATGACCTGTCAATAACAATAATGCCTGATTTAGTAAGGAATTAACTTCAATAACTAGTCATTGATGAAAATTCCTAACATAATAATTCCTAACATTAAAAATTAAGTTGAAAATCGAAAAATATATTTTAATACTTATTAGCTATTATTCAGGATAAATCATAATCTTAATCTTTATAATAATAATGAACAGATTACTAAACACGATTTTATTACACGTTGCTATTCACTATTTCAATGCCCAGACAGTACTGAACAGTCACTTGCGGAATGTGTCTGTAATAGGCATATACCTAGTCAAATCAGGTATTTTATTAAATGCCTAGGCATATAGTCAACGAATTTAATGTTTATGCATTTTCACTATCCGCCTAGACATTTAGTTAAATGCCCAGTCATTTAATTAAATGACTAGGCATTTGATTAAATTTTTATTTCATGTCAGGCAAATAATAAAAAAACATTTTGTATTATTTTAAAAATGTAATAATATATTTTCTATCAGTTAT